CATAGCTCCACCCACTCCTGCCATCATACATTGGACCTTGTGCTGACTTATGGCATAGAGTGTGAGGAAATAACTATCTTTCCACATAATCCAGTCCTCTCGGACCACTTTCTGATACCCTTTGAGTTTTTTATTACTTAGTTCTCGAGACATGAAAGTAAATTTCACTATAGTCGGTCTCTATCTGACAACGCTGTTGCATCTTTTAAATCAACTGTTCCATCTTTACTGTCCTCTGCATCTCAAAGGAACGTAGCAGAGGGCAATATTTTCATTTTTAGCCCCTCACAAATTGATGCCTTAGTTCATAATGTTACTTCCTCTTTACGTGTGGCATTAGATGATGTTGCCCCTTTAAAAAAGAAGGTAATTAGGGACAGGAAGTTGGCTCTCTGGATTAATTCTCATTGACGAGCCTTAAAACAAAACTCTAGGAAATTGGAGAGAACATGGCGCTCTACGCACCATGAGGAGGCCTACCTATCCTGGAAAAGTTGTCTTGTCCTTTATAAAAATAAGCTTCAACAAACTAGAACTGCTTATTTCTCAGCGTTAATTGGGGAGAATAAGAATAATCCTACATTTCTTTTCAGTACAGTTGCCAAACTTACACAGAATCGTAGCTCTGAACCATCTATTCCCTTAGCCCTCAGCAGCAACGACCTTATGGGATTTCTCACAAGTAAAATTAATTCTATTAGAAACAAAATCTTTAGCATCCTCCCTAATGCGGTTTCTTCTTCCTCAGTAAGTGAGGCAGCATCAGAGGTAACTGTAGAACCTCATATGTGTTTGAACCATTTTGATCCAGTTCAGCTTTCAGAGTTATCAAAAATATTAGCTTCATCTAAACCTTCCACTTGCATTTTAGATCCAATCCCAACCAAATAATTTAAAGATGCATTTCCTTTCGTTACTACCCCCATTCTAGATGTAATCAATCTATCCTTACTGAATGTACCACAGGATTTTAAGGTTGCTGTAATCAAACCCTCACTTAAGAAGCCTTCTCTGGATCCAGATGACCCAATGAATTATAGACCAATATCTAACCTTCCATTTTTATCCAAAGTCCTGGAGAAAATAGTGTCCATCCAAGTATGTGAGCATTTAAACACTAATGCTCTGTTTGAGGAATTTCATTCTGGTTTTAGAGAGTATCACAGCACTGAAACTGTGGTAGTCAGAGTTACAAATGATAGTCTCATGGCCTCAGATAAGAATCTTGTGTCTGTTCTAGTCTTGTTAGATCTCAGTGCTGCTTTTGACACAGTAGATCACAACGTTCTTGTAGAAAGGCTTGAACATGTTGTAGGGATCAAAGGAACAGTGCTAGGCTGGTTTAAATCCTACCTGTCTGACAGATTTCATGTACAGTACATGACAAATCTTCTTCATACTCCAGGGTTACTTGTGGAGTACCACAGGGTTCAGTTCTTGGACAAAGGAAATTACTTAGTCAATCACCTGACCTGAATGGCATTAAATTAATCTCCGAGAACAAAGTAAGGAACCTTGGTGTTATCTTTGACCAGGGCATGTAATTCAAATCCCAGGTTAATCAGGTTTGTAGGATTTTCTTTTTCCACCTTCAGAATATTACTAGGATTAGATTCATCCTTTCCAGGAGTGATGATGAAAAACTAGTTCATGCATTTATTACATCAAGACTGTATTACTGTAATTCATTACTCTCAGGAAGTCCACAGAATGTAGTTAAAAGTCTTCAGCTTGTCCAAAATGCTGCAGCTAGAGTTCTGATGAGAATTAAAAAGAGAGATCATATCTCTCCTGTCTTAGCTTCCCTACACTGGTTGCCTGTTGAATTCAGAATAGATTTTAAGATCCTTCTTCTCACATATAAAGCTCTTAATAAGCTCCATCATACATCAGTGATCTGATTGTTCCATACGTTCCTAACCGAGCACTTCGCTCTCAGACTGCAGGTTTACTGGTGGTTCCCAGAATATCTAAAATTAGGATGGGAGGCAGATCTTTTAATTGTCAGGCTCCTCTCCTGTTGAACCAGCTCCCAGTCTTAGTCCGCGAGGCAGACACCTTGTCTACTTTTAAGACTAGGCTTAAAACATTTTTATTTAATAGGGCTTATGGTTAAAATCTGATGTTAGCCTAGATCTGGACAAGTGGGGGAGTAGAGGGAGGTGGAGTGTACAGTCGGTAAAGATGGCTCTCCCTTGCTCTGCCTCCAACATGCCTCCATCTACAAAAGCTAGGTTATCCAGAGTTATCTCTGTAGTTATGCTGCTATAGGCTTAGACTGCTGGAGGATACAGTGACCACTTTTCACTCTATTACTTTCTTCTACAATCTGCTCTTTAACTGTATTATTTCCTGCTACTTCAGCTGTTAACTTTATTTTTTCTCTAAGTGTTTTTCTCCCCAGAAGAAGCTACAATGATGTTCTGCTGAGCTGTGGTGGCCTCATGGAGGGGGCCATCGTCTAGCACAGCTAACCACTTAAACTTTCTCCCTCTCCTGATAATAACTTTTTGTTTCCTTGACGTTGGATGTGCTACTACTAGTTTACCCGTTTAACAATAGATTCACTAGGATAAATACAAAAGTTTATCTCTCACCAAATAGAATATTTACTAAGCAATCATGGTGTAACCATGGACACATTGCTTGGTGTGTGTGTGTGTGTGTGTGTGTGTGTGTGTGTGTGTGTGTGTGTGTGTGTGTGTGTGTGTGTGTGTGTGTGTGTGTGTGTGTGTGTGTGTGTGTGTGTGTGTGTGTGCGCGTGCGTGCGTGCGTGTGTGTGTGTGTCTACTCTGTCTTCTCGATCACCAGTGAGTTGTGGTGGATTGCTGCTTATGCTGAGCCAGCATCGCTTGGAGGTTTGTTTCCGTTTAAAGGGAGTTCTTCTTCTTCGTCTTCTTCCTGTGAGACTGGTGGGGTGGCGCCCCAGCTCCCCTTATGGGCGAGCCACCACTGGCTTCAACCAGATGTAGAAACCAAACCGTTTAATAATATACTGTGAAAATGAACTCATGAACTCCCTAACAGCAGGGGTTATCACAGTCTGAAAACCATCAATTCAAGCCTTTAGTCCGCCAAATTGTCACTTCCGCCAGCATTCAGTCAGAAAACTCTTTGCCTCCCAGTCAATGAATTTAGAACATTTTAAAGCCGAAGCTTCTCACTTGATGCCTTGTGTGAATTCTCTGTGAGAAGAATAATGCGATTAGAGTAGACTGTGTGATATTTCACTTTGCTAGCACCCTGCAGCCAGATAGGAGGCTTGTTATGAATATGAAATTCTGCTTAAGAGGTCTGCTGCATTGACTCACTTTGCATTCAATTGAAAAGCTTAACAGCATCCGTGATCCGCAACCTTAATTAACCCGCTGATTGTTAAAAATTCATAAGTTTTAATTTTGGTGGAACTTGTCGTGACCAAGTTCAAGCCGGGCACAGTGTGTAAGTGTCTAAAACAATAAAACCTAACCTCACTGGGTAATGTGTTCTGCAATGGGCAGATGTTTCAGTTGTTTCTAAAAACACATGCAGAGAGGTAGTCTGAGATGATATTTTTACCTTGTCTCATAAAAAATAATGGCGTCTTCTGGTCAATTTGTGAAATTAGAAGAGCACAAAGTGTAGGAAAACCACAAATTAAAGAAATTTAAACTGTGTGTGTGTGTGTGTGTGTGTGTGTGTGTGTGTGTGTGTGTGTGTGTGTGTGTGTGTGTGTGTGTGTGTGTGTGTGTGTGTGTGTGTGTGTGTGTGTGCGTGCGTGCGTGTGTGTGTGTGTGTGTGTGTGTGTGTGTGTGTGTGTGTGCGTGCGCGTGTGTGTGTGTGTGAGAGAGAGAGAGAGAGAGAGAGAGAGAGAGAGAGAGAATATCTTGCAGGTTAAATGCACCGACTGCTCTCTAAAACACCTGAAGGGATAGAAAGAAGAGACGAGCAGGAAAACATTTCAGGTGGCAGTTGAACATATCTGGTACCAGATATAAGAACTGATCTGCATCTGATGCGTCACTGGAACGAAAACACCACTTTATCGTGATGGTGAAGGTTCTCAGTGATCCAGGTTATCATAATCCAAAGGGTTCAAATGAAAGGAACTGGAGTTCTTAAGCTATGTTTCGCCTCTGGAAAATAGGAAAGTCAAGTTTATAAACTGTAGCTACCTGTTGTTGCTTAACAAATTGAAACTACTTATGAATACCCCTCCACCATAACCTTTGAGGAGTCATTGATACCGTTAGGTCCTATTGTGTTGGAATGGTTGTTTCGATTCGATGCAGGAGGATGTTATAGACTGAAACTGTTTAGGAATAAATTTATCAACTTTAATCAGTACATAGTAGTATGAGTTTATTATGCAAACGTATCACTTCATGTCTTAGCATAGCACCCCAAAACTGTTTTAGTTCACAAATCCATTGAGCATTCTGTCTTTTGTTCTCCATGAAAGTCAAGAAAATACATTTAAAATAGACACATATATTAGTTATTTTTTATTTTATTATCTATTGTCTGTAAAAACAAATTAAAAATGTATCTCCACTACTGATTATACGGTTTGACTTCTTATTATTTTTCTTCTCAAATTAAATATCAGTTTGGAAGCCTATTCCCGCCACTCAGAAAAAAAAATATCTATCTATATATGATATAATATATAATATATAATTATAATTATGATTATAATAATTATTATAATCATAATATTGAGATACTATCTCATTATTATGAGGTACTAGGTCATAATTATGAGATACGATCTCATTATTATGATTTAGTATGTCATAATTATGACTTAGCTATCTCATAATAATGAGATACTATCTCAATTCTATGAGATAGCTAAGTCATAATTATGAGATTTCTTTTTAATCTGAGTGGCGGGGATGGGCTTCCATTCAACAGAAAAAAAATAGAAAAAATTTTTGATAAACCAGTTAATTAGAAACTACTAATTGGATCATTTATGTGTCCATATGCCAAAAGGTTACTTTATAACATCTGAAGTGGTGTGTGTGTGTGTGTGTGTGTGTGTGTGTGTGTGTGTGTGTGTGTGTGTGTGTGTGTGTGTGTGTGTGTGTGTGTGTGTGTGTGATCCATCAATACTACCTTTTGAAAGACGAAATTGGTCATTTGAATAGAGTAATTTTAAATACAGCATTTTATGAATATTCAGTGTGGTGGAGCTCCTAGTGAGCGGTCAACAGCTGCACTTTTCATCATTTCTGATTCTTTTTTGCTGGTGAATATATATGAACTGATGAACGTTAATTAGAAATGAACCTCGTTAAATATTGTATCCAGGGAATTCATGGACGCACTTTAAATCCTGGATGAGTTTACTCTATCATTGTAGTCATCATAAGATGTTGTTAAAATGCAGCAGAAAAACACTTCATCATCTCCTTATTGAATTAATAATCTACTCTGGTATCCCAGGCAGCTGATTTCTTGCTGTGGAGTGACGCACTTGATTCTGACCTAGTCTTCTGTAACATCATCCTCTTAATATTGTTGTATAACTCGGTAAACATAGAAACGTTTTACTTAAGGACGACAGTTCCCAGCCTGAGGGCTCACAATCAATAGATAAATCCAACTAAGACTAACACACTGATTGGAAATATGAGAGAATTTGTATTTTCAAACACATTTTTGTAATCTTAACCCAGCTATAATTTAGGAAAGGAGTGCAAATCGAGCTCAAACTAAATTAAACCTTTACTTTTACTAGAGCTGAAAGACATCTCATTTTGAATAGCAAAGTACCTCTGCTAGCTAGCCACAATTTAAAGAGAAAGTTCACTGAGGAACCAATTTTTACTTTATTTCTTTTTAAAAGTACGATTAGTCACTCCGTTTCACATCAGGCTAAATATGAATATAGTTTTCTGCCTCCTATCTCCATTAGCCGCTGGTAGAAAGTAAGCAATCAATCAAAGATACTTTATTAATCCCAGAGGGAAATTAGAGTTTCAGTACACACAATTCAGAGATCAGATACGGGCAAGACACATGACAAGAATTGGTGACTGTGGTCATCCGCAACCCTGAGTCGCGCTACCTTAATAGAGATAAGAGGGTTACATGAGGATTGGTTCAGGTGGAGGGAAAAAAGGCACTTCAGAGTTACCCTCCACCGGGAGGGCAGCTTTGTTCTGCAAAAAAAACACCTCAGACAGAAATGCAACAGACTTCGGACAACACAAAATAAGTGTCCACTAGGTGGGGTGGTGGGTTGGGACTATCCCCACTTCAGTTCCTGCAGCCACGATAAGCAGCACATGTCACCTCAGTGTGGATAGGGGGAGGAGCATTGAGGGTTGGAGGGTTGCAGTGACCCTGGAACGTTTCAGCGGCCTTCCCACAGTCCCGCCCAGGCTGGGAAAGGAGACATAGTTGAGTTGCCATAGCGACGGCACATTCCACATATCTTCTGAGGAGGGAGTTTTCGTTGGAGCCTTGCAGGCTCAAGGACGCCAGATTCCGATTAGAAATAGTTTTGGGGCCAGACAGAGATACTTTCCTCTCTAACAGTTTGTTGGTCCTTAACCTCTCAAAATCCCAATAATGGACATTAAACTATCCCAATCCGTGCTGATTCGTCCACTCTCTCCTTGATGCAAGGAAACGTTCTTATTGGAAAAGTGAGACAATTGTTGTAAAATGTTATAAGATGTTGGAAAATTAGCAACCATGGACTCACCCATCTTGGCACACAATAAGGAAGGTTGTTGGTTCAGCGTCCAGGAGAGAGCAGGGCATGTCTCAGCTAGTAGAAGCTAACCGTTAGCATTAGCAACTCGACAAAATGGCAGGACTCCCTCAGGCTTGAGTTATTTGTGGAGATGAAACATCAACGTTGCAAAGCAAACAGAGTCAGTGCTAGAGCTGTGTTGCTGTTGGCCAATCAGAGGCCAAATGACTGAAAATCAGGAAACAAGTCTCCAAATGCTGTTTTCTTTTGCTCTTCACTCCTCTGTTAAACTCCTGCTTCCTGAAACAAGAGTGTCAGAGCTTTTTCCTCACAGAGATTGACTCGCCAGTCATTCATCTATACTAGAGGTCACTGCAAACCTGTTGGAAAAAAAATTTTCTTTAGGAAAATGGTATCGATTTTGTGCTCCAACTGTGGGAAAATCAACCAAACATCAAGTTCCAGAGCTTTCTGGACTTATTCTGTCATGACGAGCCCTGCATTTGAATAGCTGAGAAACTGGAACCACAACGTAAGGTCCCATGAGCGACTTCTAAGTAAACAAACAGCTGTATTTGCACTCCGTCGTCAAACTAAATCTCGGTCCATAAATCCTCTCCACTGCTTCGAGAAGGTGGTGCGCTTCTAATTTATATCCTGATTTTTGCAGATTTTAGAAATTTATAGTCAGTTTGTGTTAAAATCAGTTTTAAATCTTTTAACTTGTGTACTTCTAACCCAAATATTTAACTGGATTTCTAAAATTAAATCATTGTAAATCACAACTAGTGAGTAAAACACTATTGTCTAAAAATGTTGTGCGTTTTGATCATACATCGAGTAAATCTAGAACTGTTCAACACCTTTGTGGTTTTGTTTAATGTTTGTAGAGGCAAATATTGTTTTGTGTTTTATTTATTTATTTGTGTTTTATTTATGAGATTTTTTTTTCTTCCAGTGCTTCGTACCAATAATGCTGTTACTACAAAAATGAAATATTTAATATCTTTGTCTTACTGGGCAACAAGACAAATACTTGCAATCAGGAATCTGATTCCTGGTGAGATTATAAAAGATTTTAGAAGCTCTATTTCTCCTTTAGTAAAATAATGTAACTAGTAAAAAATAAAATAAAATAAAATAAAGCAAAAAATGTTAAAGGCAAATCTCAGTTTCCACCTCAGAATTGGAGAGTGTGAGCACGAGCAAACTCACCACAGAAAAACTGCACAGTAGCATGTGAATAAAGCCCTTTTACCTCCACTCCTTTACTTTCCCTTTCATTTTGACCCATTTTTCTTTTTGCCCCCTCTTCTGTCAGCTTATGAGGACTGACATGAGCGGTCACATCCCCGGATAGTTGTTTGGACCGGCCATGCACTTCATGACCACTCTCATAAATGTTTCTCAGCTGCAGAGGGCAGTTGATTCTTAAAACACTGAAGCAAGTATGAAATGTGAAAATGCCGTCTTGCAGTTGTTGAACAGAAAGGCAATCAAGCCAGGGACGGAGAGGGGATGGAGGCAGGAGGAGTGAGTGGTTTTGAGGCGTGATGATTTAGAGATGGGAACGCAGAGAGATTGCACAGTTTAGAGGGAAACATTTTGTCTGAGGGAGATAGAGCGGTGTGGGGTAGAGAGGTCACCTCCTGAGCATATCCATTTCACACTATTTTCCTCAATTCTCCCTCTGGACATTACTTATCTCCCCCTTCAAGCGATTATCCTTCCATTTGCCATTATATATGTGTCAAAACCTTCACTTACACACATACTTACCTTATGTGTTCACTCCAAGCTCGAGAGAGACCGCTGGATCCTTGTGACAGCATTGCAGGAAATAAGGTATTTTGAAGAGCGGCTGAGTGCACATACCGCTGATATGCACCCTCTACTTAAGTTTTATTGATACTTGGAGTTTGTGTTATTTTATAGGACCTGCATCATGCTATCTGAAACCTTTCAGGCTCATGTACGATTACACTATTCTGTTGGCTTTATGTCATTTGTTCTGAAACATAAGTCATCTTCTTGAGACGTTTTGTCAAACCCGAGTTAAGGTTCAAGGTTCAAGGTTGTCTTTATTAATCCCCAAGGGGGAAATTGAATTGCCTTGGACAATTAAACACAACATGCACATCCACACAATAAAACATTCACTGGTCCTGATAAAATATAAAAATATCAAATATACAATCATACGAAATGCTCATTGTCAAAACGCACTGCAGCTGGAATAAAAGAGTTCCTAAAACGTTCAGTGGAGCACCGGGGCATTAACATTCGCCCACTGAAAGAGCTCCCGAGATCCTTAAAAATGTGGTGAAGGGGGTGGTTAAGATGCTTGGATTCGATGAAATCCTGCCTCCACCCATGTGAATTCCATCCATTTCATAAAGTAACCCTATTTCTCCAGCAGCATCAGGACCATCAAAAAGAAATCAGCAACACATGCTAGCAGTGAACTACGGGAGCCTAATTCCAGTCCCTGGGTCCCCTACTGTCAAAAAAATAAAAATAAAAAATGAATGGGAGTCTATGGACCGATACGTTATTTTCAGATCCTGTTTGATACCTGCCATGGATTTTAAAAACACATTATGATGCTTTAAGAAAGTGCTAATTTTTAAAAGGTGGCTTTAGGTTTGTGTAGAAATTTTCCTTTAGGCTCATTTCTGTACCTCAAAAATACATTTTCACATTCTTTGCATGAGCAAAAGTGCACACTATATAAGAAAAACATCTCTTCTTACAAATGTGGAGATCTCTGCTAGCTACTCGAAGAGAGTGTGTTGGTGTTTACAGTCCAGGGGAAGCAGGGTTCTGAATTTGATTCTGCCCGGATGGAAAGGAGCGGTGCGTGAATCTTTTCAATCCAACCACTTAGCTTGGCAGAGACGCCGGAGCTCAGAGAGCAGAATGCATGCATGTAGCAAAAAAACATTGTTAGGTCACTCCTATAGATTTAAGCTACATAGATATGAAATCTCATCGTGGCAATAGTCTTTTATTTAGAAAATTATCACTGAAACAGTGTGTGATTTCCTGTCTGGCCCTATGTTAACTGTGGAAATTGGCTTGTCCCAAAAGCGGCTTGTGGCAAAAAGAACCCAATCCTGCTTTTAGCGCCGCAGAGGGCCATCGTGATTCGTGGTGGTAAAACATTTTACAAATGAAATAAATTAAGTGAAATAAAAAAAAATCTCCAACTTCCACAACAAGCTTTCACCGTGATAAACAGTTTATGCCACAACACCGAGGGCTGATGTCCGAGACATATAATGTTTTACGGAGTAGCTTCTCTGCTGTGAGTATTGTTTGCCACGGTGGAAAGTGAGTGGTGAAATGAGCATCCAGATAAATGCTCAACACTGAGAAAATGGGGTTTATCTTTTTCACAGTGACAGAAAAGAGAAAATCACCCTCCAACAATGAAAACGGTGCAGAAAACCATAGAAAAGATGAGACGCAGGTTGAAAAAGAATTGATGCAGCTCAGTCTACTACAGGATGCCTCTGTCCAACTCCCTGGAAGAAAGACTCGAGGCCAACATTGATTTTGCCAATAAAGTTATTTACATTTATGCAAGCAGACACGGCTGTCAAGGAACGAACAACAAGAGGGGACATCTACATCTTATTACTTATATTTTCAGTTTTTTGTTGTTTTGGAAAAACAAACTATAATTTTAATTACCATAAAACGTACTTCAAGTTTCTGCATTTTAAGATTTTACTTGATTCTTACAAATAAAAAGATATTTAAAAAACTGGAACAGATTTCCGTCTCATTTATTTGTCGAACATTTAAATTGAAAAACCCTTGTGTGCAATGTTTAAACAGTATTTCAGATCTAAAGCATCCCTACATCCTTAAGTACTAACTCTAGAAACACTTCTTTGGGGAACATTCAAGCCCTTTGTGTAATTTACCCAATGGGTGACGGCGACAGTGGCACAGAAGTTGAGTGCTCGCCCGTTAATTGGAAGGTTGCGGGTTCAAGCCCCGCTCAGTCTGTTGCTTTCGTTGTGTCCTTGTGCAAGACACTTAACCCGCTTTGCCTGCTGGTGGTGCTTAGAGGGACTGATGGCGCCAGTGCTCGGCAGCCTCGCCTCTGTCAGTGTGTTTCAGGGCAGCTGTCGCTACATCGTAGCTCATCACCACCAGCGTGTGAATGTGTGAGTGAATGGGTGAATGACTGATTGTGTTGTAAAGCACCTTGGGGGGTTCCCGGACTCTAGAAGGCGCTATATCAAACACATAGCCTGGTCTGCCAGACTTGTCTGTTTAATTCTGCACAGAGAAAGAGTCTGGTAGCTCACAGGCAGAAAGGCACTTGAGGGGCGGGACTAGGCAGCTCAGAAATAACCAATCAGTACAAAGATGTAAATGCAGACTGCACCGCGCAACGCTGTCATTTTTCAGCTGCAGTAAAACAAGGCGTCTGGCAATGCCGCAAACGTCTTTTTTTATTTAGAAGAAAGGCTTTTAGCGTTTCAACTTGTCGTTTTAAAGACATCCAAGTCATTTAGAACAGAGGAAAGAGCCGCAGTGAACTCCGCCGCTGTCTTCGTTGTTTGAGAAACTGAGCGCCGCCGTGAGTGACGTCCGCGTTGTTGTAGTTTTTTAGCTGTAGTCAAAAATGGCTTCTGGCGACGGTGCAAACATCTTTCTTTAGAAGAAAGGCTTTTAGCGCTTCTATTTGTTTTTGATTTGAAGACACGTTCAAGTAATTTAGAATAGAGGAAAGAGCCGCAGCGATCTCCGCTTCAGTCGCCATGTTTATGACAAACTCGGTGTTGTGGTGTGTGACGTACGCTGCTCAGCGCTGATTGGCTCGGTTCAAATTCTCAGGGGGTGGGGTTGTTTGAATAGAAGAGTTCCCAGACCCTTTGTGCAGAATTAAACAGAGGAGGAGTCTGGCAGGCCAGGCTATCAAACACAAGCCATTTACCTTTTAATTTAGGAGGAAGCCACTGATGGTTTAAAGCAGGGCTATTCAATTCTGGGCCTCAAGGGCTGGTATCCAGCATGTCTTGGTTTTAGCCTTGCTTCAACACACCTGATGAGCTGCTGCACAGGTGATTCAACCAGTATAGTGTGTTGGAGCAGAGAAACCACTAAAACGTGCTGGATACCGGCCCTCGAGGCCCAAACTTGAATAGCCCTGGTCTAAAGGATGTGAGGAAATCTAGAAATCAGGTTGTTTTTCCCTGTTTGTTAGAGGTTATGGCTTTGTGTTTTTCCCAAATTAAAATGTGGAGAAAAATTAAAAATTAAAAACGAGAGAAACAAATTATAACTCAGACAGTGAACAAAGTGCTCCAACAGATTTGGATTTAGTGTGCCGGGTGGACCCACTGGTTTGGAAGACAACCACTGTTGAATCATTAGATCCAAAATGAGCAGTTTCACATGGTTTCATCATCTGTAGGCAAATCTGTGTGTGTGTGTGTGTGTGTGTGTGTGTGTGTGTGTGTGTGTGTGTGTGTGTGTGTGTGTGTGTGTGTGTGTGTGTGTGTGTGTGTGTGTGTGTGTGTGTGTGTGTGTGTGTGTAAGAAAAGAGGAAGTTGATGTTGATAGCAGGAGGATGAAGTAAATTTGTTACATCAGCCTATAACCTTGACCAGGCAGCTGTCATTGCTCCCGTGTTTCTCTGTGAGAACTGTGGCTTACTCAAATATTCAGACTGCAGTCATGTGTTCGTGTGCAGGACGGTATGCGATTGAGGATTAAAAATGTTAGATTCTACATAGATTAAATGCATTTTCTTGAATGTTTGTGCTAGTCATTTATCGTAGTTCTATGCAGAGGGTGGTTGCAGGATTCTGACCCCCCCCCCCCACACAAACCCTTTAATGTGCTCATGCTGGGTATTTTACTCTGATCAAGTCAGCTGTGCATCAGTTTGGTTCAACACAGCCACACATAAATGCTAACGCAAACACACTTGCAATAGTTCACCACGGTCTAAGCTAACAATAAAAAAGCAAAGTCAGCGTTGTGAGCTAATGTTGTTTGTTATTCTCAGGACTGCATCCCCAACTGTAGATTTCCCCAGAGGGAAGACTGAAAACAAACGACCAACCCGCCTCAAAACAATACTTGACTTTCTTCTCTTTTATTATTTTTTGATGAACTGCATTTAAAAAGCTTTCTTTGGAATGTTTTTTACTCTTAGAGCCCCAAAATGACATTTTCTCTTCAACCTTTATGAAATCCTTTCATCCATGCTTAAATTAATCTACTGGGCAAAATATTCAAATCGTTTATTTGTTTATTTTTTTTTAACACAAGTTACATTATCTGCTATTTACACACATTTGCATGGAAATCAACATTTGGGGCAGCAGTAGCTCAGGCGGTAGAGCGGGTTGCCTCATGATCGGAGGGTCATGGGTTCGATTCCAGCTCCCGCCAGGGGTATCCTGCTGTTGTGTCCTTGGGCAAGACACCTCACCCAACTTGCCTGTGTTAGTGGTGGTCAGAGGGGCCGACGGCGCCAAATGGCAGCCTCGCCTCTGTCAGACCTCCCCAGGGCGGCTGTGGCTACAAGTAGCTTACCATCACTAGCAGTGTGTGAATGGGAGAGTGTGTGAAAGCGTCTTTGGGTGTCTAGAAAAGCGCTTTATAAGTTCAATGCATTATTATTATTATTATTTGTCATGCTGAAAATCATCTCTGTTTCTTCTGCAACCATGTACTCTACTAGCACTGGTCACTTTATTAGGCACGGTTTTCTCCTACCGAGATTCTTATCCATCATGATGGCATGTTGCTGCAGGTAGTTCAGCTGCTTCTCCATTTCAGTGAACGTTCTCCTTTTCCACACCTCGAAGGTGCAGGCCTGGGTTGAGATCTGGTGTGTGGAGGGTGCTGGGGATCAGAAACGCATCGTCACATTCATGAAACCAATTAGGGATGATTTGAGCTTTGTGACTTAATAGAACATCCTGCTGGAAGTAGCTTTCAGGAAGTGGATCTATGTAGTTGTAAATACCCAACAACAGCCAAAACGTATATTTAAATTTGTTTACACCGAATTCTAATTAAAAACCCGAGCAAAATCGAATGCTTCTCCGATCTCTCATTCTCCAGTTTTGGCGAGTCTGTTTGAATTATTGCCTGGGGTTTGTGAGGAACGCTTTAGTGCAGCCTTCAGCTGCTGTAGCCCATCCACTTCAAGGTTTTAGCATTCAGAGTTAATATTCTACACAGCCGGCTTGTAACTATTGTGAATTCAAGCTGCTGTAGCATCATCTCAGGCTAGTCTACCCAATTCTTTTGTCACCTCTGACATCCACAAGGTTTATTTACTCATATTTCCTTATTTGGACCATTTTCTGTTATGGTTCAATATGGTTGTCGGGGGAAATCCCAGTAGACCATCATTTATGGGCCATTCCCACCTGTACCGGGTCGGCCCGGGCCGGGTAGCGTAGGTTGTTTACATATCTGGGTGGCCTGGTATTTTTCCGGGCCAACCAAGGCTCATTCTCAGCCCTCTTCTCGAGGGGGTCTGCTTCAGGCCGACCAGGGCCAACACACCCACTGCTGACAGCAAATTCACACCTTCCATTAGAGCAAGCCTCTGATTGGTGGGTAGAATCAGCCCACATGGGCTTAAGGCAAGGATGTGTGGAATCAACCGGGCCAGGCTGGGGCCGACTGGGGCTACCCGGCCCGGGCCGACCCGGTACAGATGGGAATGGCCCATTGGTGAAATACTCAGGCCAGCCATAATGGTACCAACAACAATTCTAAGTTCACAGTCACTTTAAATCCTGTTTTTACGTCAGTGTGATGCTTTGTTTGAACTTAACTAAGCTACTTTAACCATATCTTAAATTCCTGACTGCGCAGATTTAGCTAATGAAGGTTTCTGAATTTCTGCGTCTCATTCAGTGTAATAGAAAAAAAAAGTTTTACACATCCTAACAAACAGCATTTCACCTGAGAGAAGATGGGGTTATGACTCAGAGCCGTGTGCAGGCCCCTTCTGTTAAAACCCACCCCGTCGGCTCATCCCACCTCTGACACCTTTGTGAGGCTTTCAGCCAGCACTCACTCCAACGGGTTTGAAACGCACCATTATAGTTTCTGCTAACATTATTATGCTGCTCCAAGTGTCTTGAGTTGAAATGAGAAAATAAAAATCCTCTCTGCATCACAATGTCAGTCAACAGGTCACAACCACTGCAGGAAATTAACAATTACTCTTCTCGTCCTTCGGTTTGCCATTTTGTGTGTATTCTGAGCCGTGTTTGTGAATGTCTGATTCCCTGTCTGCAAAATTTCCTTTCCATTATCAGAACATAGAGTGTCGCAGGAAATTAGCAATTATGCTGCTGCAGAGTTTATTATTTTGGACTGACCGTCTGAAGGCTGCAGGAAGAAAGAAATCGGTCATCTTTCAAATTCTTCAGACTTTTGTGTGTGTGTGTGTGTGTGTGTGTGTGTGTGTGTGTGTGTGTGTGTGTGTGTGTGTGTGTGTGTTAAGTACTGTTGAATGTATGACGTTGAGTATGTCAGTGAAGTCAACAGCACTTTGAGTGGTTCACTCATGCTGTTGGTTTTTGTGGAGCGATTGTATTCAAGCTGTTGTTGACCTTATAAACACATGTCATCCAAGCTGTTTTTGTTCTTTTGGGCCAGTTTTCAGTGTTCAGACTGGAAACTACCTACCAACAAATGTCACTCTTTAAATAAAGGAACAAAGCACAGAACAGGGGGAAGTTAAAGCAGTGGTTTTATTTGATTTAGTCTCACAATTTTTGTTTTATGTAAGAAAAAAGGGGGAAAATCAGTCATTTCTGCTAACCTTTCTTTTTTGTGTCCTTTCTTTTATGGCTTCATTCTCATTGGCCTGAATTTCCTCCAATAAAGGTAAGAGACAAACGAGCACGCATGATGGAACATAGTTAGCACACATTTGATTTAATTACATCGTTAAAAAAATGTGAGATGGGCAAACAATTTAATTCTGTAAGTGGTGCTTAGTACCTGCTTATTTCTACCCAAAAACCTTTGTTCAACAAAATGAAACAAAATCTCAGCAAGTCGTTTCCTGTTTCACTTTTTATTAGTGATTCTGATTAATGACTGATTATGTGCATGATTTATGTTTACAATCTTCTCCAAAACGAGGCAAAACCAGGTTTTAGAAAACCGGGAAGACCACACTAATGTGTTTATTTCCATGTATTCCTGTGAATCCGTCCACATTATTCTCCATAGGTTGAAACATCTTAAAACACACTGCTTGCAAATAAATAGTGGTATCCATAAAATGTACAAATGACTCTTTTTATATTGTTTCTTGAACGTATCCTGTTATAAAATTTGTCATTACCATGATGCGTTCATGTGCATCTTGTCACTTTAATGAACCGATGAAGCGAATCCAAAGCGTTACAACGCCATTAGAAGCTGCTTTAGCATTTTTGTTGCATGCGTATTTCTTTCTGAACTCTTCAGTAGAACATAGCCAGTTCCTAGTTTAGCTATTTATCCAGTTTCAGTTTATTTTCCTGACCTCTTCTGTTGTTTGGTCCACTTCTACTGAAGGATCTTTTCCTCTCATCTAGAGAAGCAGGTTGAATGCTTTTAAAGTGTTTGTGAGTGTCAGCTGGTGAAGTATGAAATCATTTCATTCCAGCTGTGTCCCTTCCAGACACTTAAAAGCTGCATTTTGTCATTTTTTTTAAAGTTAAACATTTTAAAACTGTGTGTAAACAGTGTTTTTATCTCCTGACTGCATCACTGTATGTAATACTTTTTGCCGAGATTGCATATAGATGTAGCAATTCAGTTTTTTTAAGGGGTTTGGACCGATACCACCTCAGGCTGCACTTGTGAGAGCTTGTGACATACACCCGTTCACGAGGAGGCCATGTTCTTCTTCAGTTAGTTGCTAGATAAGTCTAACTAGCTGCTGCAAGATGGCTTCTGCCAGCATTTCATGTCTGGTTGTCTGCATCCATCCCAGGCCGCTCCTCCTCACGGTTCTGAACGGGTTCAGGTGCTCAGGAGCCGAGCTGTAGGCTGACAGTTCCAGCCTGGGTCTTTGCATTTGTGAGACGGTCCTCCTGGCTCTGCCCAGAGTTGGGCATCACAGGTGGCTTGCACTGCTGCACATCATGCCTGGTCCTAAGCTCCACGACTTTGAAATTCTTGGAGAACCCGGGCGAGGAGCGGGAAACTCTCAAAGGGCAATCTGATTTTGGCTCTCTTTTCCGGTGATAACTTTCTGCGATTACTCGCCAAGTTCCCCTGGTTCTCTCTTCCATACTAACCTGATGACTATCATCAGCCTGTCCTTCCAACACCTCCAGACCCGAAACAGCTTTTTCTATTGAGTTTAAGATGGTAATAAATAACAATAAATAATGAAATAATAAAAATAATAAATGGGTTTGAGAATCAAATAAGTGGTAATTTCCTTGCTTGCAGTTCCTCTAATGACCACATGATTCAATTCAAAGATACAGTGATCCCTCGCTACTTCGCGGTTCGTTGATCGCAGATTCACAACTTCGCAGATTTTTTCTTTGGAGCCTTATTCAAGGGAAATTCGCCGATTTGCGGTATTTTTCACTGATTTGCGGTATTTTTCTATGCAAAATATCAAGAAATTCCTGTTGTTTTTTTCATCAATTTAATCATAAAATGCACTTTTTGTAATAAAACTATAAAAAAACAAGTAAAAATACAGTACTATGTAAAGGGAGGGTTTTAAAAGTCTGAATATGGTGTCCCTACTTCGCGGATTTTCACCTATCGCGGCCAGGTCTGGAACGCATCTACCGTGATAAACGAGGGATCACTGTACTTTATTAATCCCAGGGGGAAATTAGAGACGCGCCATCTGCATCGCCCTTTGCAAACTACGCAGCTTTAATCATATCTTGAGAGCATTTCTCAATGTAATATAAACATTTTCTTAAGGAGTAAAAGTTACAAGCACCATAAACTGAAATTATAACTTGAAGCACTTGTCCAATGAACAATTGCAGATTTTTATCATGTATTTTATGTGTTAGCTGTGAGTTTTGTTTAAGTTAATTGGAAAACTGCAGAAGTACAAGATAAGAGTTTGAGGTAAATCTGGTAATCAATTCATTTTTCCCTGCCATTTATTTTTGATATCACAACTGACTTTCATGCAAAGTAGAGAATAGGAAGTAGAAGAATGCACATAGCAGATAAGGGACCTTGCATTCTAAAACACTTCTAGAGTGTTGTTGATTTTTTCATGTTTGTCTGTGTGTGTGTGTGTGTGTGTGTGTGTGTGTGTGTGTGTGTGTGTGTGTGTGTGTGTGTGTGTGTGCGTGTGTGTGCGTGCGTGTGTGTGTGTGTGTGCGTGCGTGCGTGCGTGTGTGTGTGTGTGTGTGTGCGTTAGTGGACCTAAGTGCAAAAGGAATTGTGGGCTGAGAAACACTGAAAACTAAAAATGTCCTTAGTTTTCCTGGACAACTGCTTCAAACAAATGGATTATTCAAGAAACCCTCCTGGATTATTTAAACTGCAGCAGTTGGTGATGAACCAAAACCACTGCTGTCATCAGGTCAAAGGGCAGAAGCTACACTCAGAAACACATCAGCCATTAAAAAAGGCGAAAAGAGAGATAATTGACAGAATGCAACATGATTAACAAATAAAAATTCAGCAAGATTTTCCAACTGAGATTTGTTGAGATTTCGTTCAGCCCTGAATATTCTTCTGTTCTGTCATTGAGTTGCTCTCAACTGGATTTAATAAATGAAGATGTGCATAGTCTTCCTTTTATTGCATACCATGCATAATTTATAAGTACAATCGGTGCAGATTATCAGAAAAACATGTAAATATACTGACCTTTTTACTTGTTTTTTCAATGCAACGCTGAATCAAAATCCCCGTTATTTATTCCAAAAACAGCAGCTTGTTGTGTAAACATAAAATATTTAAGTTCTTTATAATGTTGAGAGGAGCTGGGCGGTTTGTACGCTGTTGGCTTTCAGTGTTTTCTAATGCAGTGTGTGCAAGATTAGAGCTATATGTAATAAAATCCAGTAACCAAAACATGAAGTTTAAGTTGACATCACGCTGACATGGTTTAATTACAGCCAGTTGGAAGTTCCCATTTCATCAACTGCTGACATATTTCATTACAGGGAAGTGAAGTAAGACAATGTACTCGCTTTCTTGTTTGGTTGAACACAACATGGAAATTAAGATGATAAGTCAGACCTCGAGACGGCAACGAGCTTGTATAAAACTTCACACATGCAATATTAAACATAATTTAGTTTAAAAAAAATAAAGCAAACCATAGGAAAACGCTGTGTGTCAACTCGTATTCTACAAGATGAGCATTTTCTGATGCTATCGTCCCCATTAGAGGGCAGCTGTCCTGGAAGGAACTGCTTTGCTGCGATGTTTTATTTCTTTAGATGAGATTTCCATGTTGGTTTGCTGTTGTGCAAGATTTATTATCATTAGACTTTAAGTCAATATTCAGTGAAGTCATCAACAATTCTGTCTTCTTCAAAACTCCATTTTTACAACATAGAAACTTGTAAAACTCTCATCTACAGTGTTTGAGTTTAAAAAGCTGATGGAAAATTAGCTGCCACATTAGCTGCCACATGCTTTTTAAAGCTGCATGGCAGCACAGTTGTTAGCACTGTTGGTGCACAGCAAAAGGTTGCAGGTTTGAAACTGCGTGGAGTTGCATATTCCCCATGCCTAACTGGAAAAAAAAAAAACAAAAACCTGACGGCACTTCTAGATTTATCACGGACCATAGAAAAGTCAATGCAGTAACCATTCCTGACTCATACCCTCTGCCACGTATTGACGATTGCATTGATCAAGTAGGAAATGCAACATTTGTATCCAAAATAGATTTACTGAAAGGATACTGGCAGGCTCAATTCAAATTCATTTCAAAGATACTTTATTAATCCCAGAGGGAAATTAGAGTTTCAGTACACACAATTCAGAGATCAGACATACATACGCAAAGACACATGACAAGAATTGGTGACTGTGGTCATTCGCAACCCTCAAGGGCACCTGATTCAGATTCGAATTTTGGGGGGGCAGAGAGAGATAATTTCATCTCTGTCTTAAATTTCCATTGGTCCTCAACCTCTCAAAATCCCAATAATGGCGTAAATTTATCTATCCCAGTCCGTGCTGATTCGTCCACTCGCTCCTTGATGGCATCCATCTTTTGTGCCAACGCATGAATCTCAGCCAGAGTTCCAAGCTTATGACTCATCTCGACAATTATGAGTCTGTGAATTCACAGCGCGGTGTAATCCATCCCTGAGCTCGGGGAGAGTGACAATGTTCCTCGACAGCTCATTAAAATTTCCGGTAAGCCAGGAAGCCTCCCAGGCCAAAGAGCAGGAAACCTGACACCAACACCACGAATATCCAGACGTCTTCCGAATCCTCTACAGACAGTTGAGATAGGCAAGTCAGGTTCCACTGTTTCCATGAGTCCATGATATCCCCAACTGGATCTGTCCCAGAGGGGCACCCGGGAGCCCCTTCTCCTGTTCTCATCGTTGAAAAAATTTTGTCAATCGCGATAAGTGACCAGCTGACCAGGTCCATTTCAGTCATTTCAGTTTCCAGAAAAAATGCAGAAGCAGCCATACACCCAGAGACAGACAAAGAGCCATGGGAAAAGATAGGGAGGAGAGGAGGAAAAAAGCGTCTGTACTCTCCAAGAGCCGGAAGAAGCCAGTATCATGCGTGGGTTTCCTCCAGGAACTCTGGTTCCCCCCACAGATCACAACATGTCTTATAGGATAACAATTGTTCGTCGCTTTGGATCAAAGCGTCTGTCATATAAATAAACATAAACATTAAAGGAGACACATTAGGTAAAACTTACCTTTTGTATCCTTTTGTGTTGCCATGCTGCTCTCTGATTCCTCTATAAACACTCCAAACATTAGAAAACATCATGAATCCATAATATATATATTTTTTTTCATTTTTTGTTTTTAGGAATTTTGTGCCTAAATGAGCCTTTTCAATACTTCCTCATTTGGAAGAATGTTTCCACCATTCAAACAATTAGCACAGGATCTCCACAGGGCTGTGTACATTCTCCTCTGCTCTTCTCCCTGTACACAAACTGCTGCACCTCGAGCCATGACTCCATTAAACTGATCAAGTTTGCGGACGACACCACCCTCATCGGGCTCATCTCTGACGGTGATGAGTCCGCCTACAGGAGGGAGGTGGAACGGCTGGTGTACTGGTGCAGCAGCAACAACCTGGAGCTCAATGCTCAGAAGACAGTGGGGATGATTGTGGACTTCAGGAAAGTCACAACCCCATCTCTCCCCCTCGTCCTGACTGACACCCCCCATCACCACTGTGGACTCCTTCCGCTTCCTCGGAACCACCATCACACATGACCTTAGGTGGGAGCCATCCATCAGCTCCCTGATCAAAAAGGCCCAGCAGAGGATGTACTTTCTGCGGCAGTTGAAAAAGGCCAAGCTGCCGGCCCAGATGATGGTGCAGTTTTACACGGCCATCATTGAGTCCATCCTCACCTCCTCCATCGCCGTGTGGTACGCTGGAGCCACAGTGAGGGACAAACATAGACTGCAGTGCATTGTGCGCTCTGCTGAGAAGGTGGTTGGCTGCAGCCTTCCATCTCTCCATGACCTGTACGTCTCCAGAACTCGGGGGCGTGCAGGTTGGATAGCAGCTGACCCTTCTCACCCGGGTCACAGACTTTTTGAGCCGCTTCCCTCGGGCAGGAGGTTACGGTCCATCCGGACCAGAACCTCCCGCAATAAGAACAGCTTCTTTCCATCTGCCGTTAGACTTGTGAATATATTACAAACACACAACCATGCTCGTCTTCTGTACTCGACACTACGTCACGTTATCGGCCATGTTACCACTACCTGCCTTTTTTTATAGCTGAAAGTTTTATGCTAGTTTTATTCTATTTTATTCTATTTTTCCTCTTATTATTCATGTTATATGTAGCACATTAGCACCGAAGCAAGTTCCTAGTTTGTGAATTGTTTGTTCACTGACAATGGCAATAAACCTATTCTGATTCTGATTCTGATTTGTGATGTCACATGCAGGCTAATAACAGAACCAACGCTTATGTGCAAGAGAGAGATGCTACTGGAGGAGCATTGGTTCTACTCATAGCCCCTCCCAGATATGGGAGCTTCTCAGCTAATAGTAGCCTGAGAAAGGAAGAGTGGGTGGGGCCAGCTACACCCCAGTTTCTTAGTCATAGAGCCTTGAAACAGCTTACATTGGAAGCTACTGAAACTTTCCAGAATCAAACTACTGAAACTGCTTAATGTTAAAGGGATTTGGGGCAAATAACTTCATCAACATGTGTATTAAAGAAAATAGACGTGTTATCACTGGAGAAGAAAAATCACAATAGTTCCCCTTTAAACTAAGCTTGCACTCAACAATCACCACTACTCTAAGAAATGAAATGTTGAATTTACTTAACTAAGTTATGTAAACTAGTTCCACCAACTAGACGTGAAAGTGGCCATAACATAGTAGACGTTTTACCCACGAGCTGCTTTCCAGCCAAGAGCGTTCAAGAACCAAAACGTGAGCGAAAGCGTTCCAAACCGCTCGTTTTGCAAATCACAAAATCACGGGAGAACTGCAACACCCAACTTTATTTTGCAATGTCATGCGATTACAAGTAAGAACAAAGATGGCTGCATGTGTCCAAAAAATGTATCTTCTATTCTGTTTACCTCTGCTATTGAGGTTTCACAGGAAATGACCTATGTTATTTTACTAGTTAAGCCACTGGAAATCTGCACGTAACTTTTATTTTTGAAAATTTTCAAATGTCTTACACTGCTTTTAAGTTTGACTTCCTGTGTGACCCATAAGCAACGAGTCCCTATGCTTCTAGGACGTGTCCAAAACGTTACACTTTGCGGCCGGTGGAACAGAACTCCATCCACCAGGAGCAGTGCTTAATCGCCGCAAAGAACGTTAGCAGCCATTTTGCGTCTGGTCGAAAGGAAGGTTAAAATACATTGTTATACATTTATGTTAATGGTAAACTCAGCATTTTATTTTTTACAGTGCATTGTCAAATAAAAAATCCCCAAAAATATGTTTTGATTTGCACGTATTTTGGATCACTTGGAGAAAATATGATATTTTCGATGACGGAATTCAGCCGAGCTCTTAGCCATGGAATCTCACCTAAGATCATCGCACACATCATGCTACCCTGCTCATTTTTAAATGCTAATTTGCAGCTCTCAGTATGGAGTCATCAGCACGGTAATAATCAAAAGATATGAAACATAATTAGCCATCATCACATTCTGGGTCACTCAGAGGTGTTTGGCTCATATTTTGACACACACACACACACACACACACACACACACACCTCAATATGTCTAATTGTAGTCGTAGAGACTCATCATGATTCAAATAGACTTAAGTAGCAAGTCTCAAGCAGCGAAAACGTTCGCTCTTTAAAAAATAAAGGCTCATGAGATTTTGTATACTTAAGTGTCAAAGATTGAATTTAATACGTCAGTCGGGCAGTGGGGAATGCAAAGTGGCCAGTAACATCGACTTTGACTTTTACAGATATTTAAATGACCAGTAAGCAAATGAAACTCCAGTTCTGCTAAACTGAGCTCATTATTAGGTTTCTGTTGAGAAAATAACTGTTAACAAGCTATATTTGTGGTAGGTTTTGTACATTTTTGCATTGTTGGTGGTCTAGGTGAGAGACTGAGGGCACAACGTTTAGATTGAGTGACAATCAACAAAATGTTGTAAATGAGATTGGCTGGATAAATGAGAAGAAGACTGTAGATTATGGAGTTTGGATAAGGGGAGAAATGGATGCTTGGAGGTCAGTGAGAATATTGTTTAGGCATCATGCACACACACACACGCACACACAGTTCAGCAGAATGGCACTGCCACCACCAATAATCTGTTAATCTGTCAGTCGCATCTATCAACGAGTACTGGAACAGATTCATCCCAGCAGCTGCACTAATGCTCTGCCCCACATACAGTACATAAATACA